TTGTAATTTGTTTACCAATTTTATGGAATCTTGTTAGGTTTGACATTGAAAGGTGGCAGTTTTTGCATCCTATACATGCATATATCTATCTATATATATATATATATATATATATATATATATATATATATGTATATCTTTCCAACGGTTTACCGGCCTCATCGTGGCTGGGAGGTGTTCCTGGGTTTTTCGTTGCGTTGTACAGCGAGTTCTGTTAAGCTGAGAAGCCAGCTAAGAGTAAACCAATACCAGGATCCACCACCGTCCTGGTATCAAAGTAGTCGCGTGATGACAGATCTCCTTCTGATCCACAAAAACGGCGACTGCCTGTGGGGGCGACGACTTGGAGCAAGCTTTGGCCTGGATGAGCTGAAGACTATGATGGGACCCAAACAACCAGTAAAGACGGACCACCCAAGTATATATATATATATATTTATACATATATATAAATATATATATATATAGACATACTTTATACACCACATACATTATACGCATATACATTATATACATATATATCCATGCCTATATATGTATATGTATACACATATATGCATATATGCGTAAAACTGGGTTTATTCTTATTCTTTTTTCTTAAAAAAGGGTTTATTCTTTATTTATACATACATGTGTTTACGATATTCGTATTCACAACAACGATATTGCTGGCACGCTAGGCATCCGCGTATAACATTTTTTTGCTGATCAATAATTCCATTGCTCGTTTTCTGACAAAATGGCTTGAAATAAGTTATATTTGAAGTTTTCTCGACGTCGAACATTTGAAGTATAGTAGTTTTCCTAGAATATTTTTTGGGAAGTCTTCTTGTTTCCTTTGTCACTTCAAATTTCTTATGCAACGCTTAAATTGCAGTTTACATTAAACTATTAATCAGAAATTGTTTATTTATTAGAAACATCTTTAGAATTTAGCAAACGTTTGATAGAGCAAAATCTCTTCGTTAATCAGTTTTTAAATAGGCAATGAGAAGCATCTCTTCCTCCAATCTCAATACTTTCCATGATGTATTTCTGATCAACCGAATCATCGCAAATCCATTTGTATTGTGATCATCACAGTATGTGAAAACGGGTCGTAAGGTGCAGCAATCCCTGGTCTCAAACTTGGGTGGTTAAACTGTTTATAGCAGTGACGATATAGTCATAATTTTATGAACGCACTGAAACAAACGACAAAATCCAAAAAAAGTGCAAACGATAGGACGACATCAAGGGTGAATAAACGAGTGAAACGCGATGAGTGAAGTGTGCATTTGAGACAAAAGTAGCAATTCTGGTATAGGCTCATGGCATTGTTTGATGCAGAAGTGTCATGTAGAATGCAGGGGTAGAGGTTTAAGACGTTGACATATTAGAAGACGTAAGTGATCCTGTAATAACAGTGCAGTGACGTTAACGTATTAGAAGGGACATGTGCAGTTAAAATAACGTTAGTTTGTTATAACCTTGCAATGAGGTTGAAGGCACGCGTAGCGTTGTTATAGTTTTTTCTTAATGGTGATTATGAGGACCCTAATTTGCTTAAGCTACAATAGCGACTATGTGAAAAGGTTTAACAATTGGGACATAGTACACGTAGTAGAGCACTGAGATAGACGTGTTGATTGTAAGGATGCTAACCGAATGAAATGGCTGACCGCTAACCAGTACCCAAGCCAATGACGTGATACCGCTCATGTTTAAATGGGGCGAAGAAGGTCACGGAGTCGGGCCACCAAGCGATGTTGCCGTGCCCGGTGGCGTTTGCGGTGGAGTAACAATGTAGGTCAAACACACAGGTTTTCGGCCCCGTTATTTAAAATGCAGATGCTTAGATGTTAACAGTAAGTAGTGCTGAGAGAAAGTGCTTATTATATACACTCTTCCAGGTAGTCTATGTATATACATATACATATATATACATTTATGTACACATTTACACAAATATATACATATATATGCATTTATGCGTGTATATACATATATTTGCACGAACATATACACATATATGCATGTGTGCGTGTATTTACTTTTACTTACTTGTTACTTGAATGGCCCGTCCTCAATGGTTATGTGGGCCTTAGCATAATCTCCATTTTACGGAGATTTGCTGGTTAAGCCATTATTGTTCCCTGCAGTCCCGAGGTCAGCCTGACCAAAGTCTGCCCAGGTCTTCACCACCACGGGCAGTCGCAGCCTTTATGGATGGAAAGGAGATTTACCACCATGCGACTTTGATAGCAAGACGGTGGTGGATCCTGATATTGGTTTACTCTTGGCTAGGTTTCCTGATGGAAACCCCGGACTCCTCAACTTGACAGACCATGTCAGAGGATGAACACTTCGCTGACGTCGCAGTCCGACATCCATAAATACCTCCCAGCCACGATGAGGCGGTTAACCGTTGGGACGGTGTGCACAGAAATGCATATATTTGTGTGTGTATATACATATATTTTACATGTGTATATATAAACATATATATATGCATATGTATACATCTGTGCACCTATGTATGTATGTATTTTCCGAAAAATGCTTATGACATCGCTACATCGCAGCTTGAATGTCAGTTTGTCGATGACTTGTTAAGGAGCTTTGATGGAAGATGATATGCTCGTCGTATCCTGCCTACACGGAGGACATATCCGTTGCCGGCTCACTTTTAATAGATAAAATTTCTGTCCTTTACGAATTTATAACTAAACGAGGGAAGCAGTGGTCTGACTATGATATGAGGTCTGCGTTAAGAATCCTCTTCAAGGTTGGTAACATAATAACTAAATGATCACTAGTTTTTATTTTTCTGTTGTTTTACTGACTGCACTTACCATTTTACTCTTAATGTGGCTCTACTTCTTGCCATATTTTCTCGAAAAAAAATTATTTAAAGCGCGGCATAAGATGAAAACGTGCAAAAATATCTATTTTATAACACCACGTAGGTTAGCTAGGTTCTGGTTCAGTATTCAGATTTGGGAAAAAGTTATTTTGAAGATTAAAGGTTAACTTCAATAAATTGATGGTGAAGGGCCATGTGTGTGGTTGAGGCGAGCGAATTTCTTTATAACCTAGAAGTGGAAAGTATAAGAATGTTAGTAAGTCCGAAGGTGTTCACATACAAATAAATAACAAAGCGTTGTACGTCTAGTTGGAAGCCGCTGAAATATTGTCTCCAGTAACAGCGAGCACTTACGATTTAGTGCAGAGTCCGATGATTATCATACACCTCCAGATAGAACCAGTGGTTTTTGGGGCAGTACAGAAAGGATGGTGGCTTTACTGTGCTTGCTCGGGTTTTTTGTTAATTAGTTGTTGCTATCCATTATTAATAATCCATGGCGAGGTTTCAGTCACCATCTCGCGAAAAGTATCCAGCACCGTTTTCAAAAACACTATGAAAAAACAGTGTGGAAGGGAAAGTCGATGCACGGCAGCAACATTGTCTTGGCTTCGCTCATTAAGTCATTCTTTAACATAAAATATTGACACAGGGAATAACAAAATATTGACACAAGGAATGGAATGTTGGCAGAATTCGAGCCTAAAGAAGACGGTGTTAGGGAGAAGCGAACTAGTTTCACATTCAAACTGTAGCTCACGGGAGAATTTATCTCTTAATGCTCCAGTTATCTGAATAGGAGGGACCACATGATACGGCTAAGCGTAAAAGTCGGACAAAAAGCGACCGACTTATCTTAAACGATAATCATTATACATCAAAGACGGAAAAGAACTACTGCGATAGTGTCAAGAATTATCTGTACACAACATGCTATACGTTTTAACAACAGTAATTGCTTTTGTCCCGGTTTCGTCAACATAGTACGGGGTGTCAAATATATAAGAATACCAATGACACGATTAGCAGACTTCATGTGGTTTTTGAATGATAAATGTGATGTTCCTCGTTTATTTACCGCTAGCAAGATCTAGTGGGAAACTTTGGGATGCAGCAATAATGGTTGGGATCCTAACCGACACCTTCTCAAATCACTCGATGATCGATGTTTCGAGCAAGCACCAATAAGGTCGTCGGTAAAGTTCCCTTTCATGCGCCCGAGCTTCCACATAAGCTTCTCTCGTCAGAGGAACGCAGGATAACATTTTGCATACGAGACGCTTTGTTTTACTATTTTTGGAGAGTAAGTAACTGAAGCTTCTATAGCTAGAATATCGCACAATTCTCATTATATATATATATATATATACATATATATATATATAAACATGTGCCGAAAATTTTAATTACACAAGTGAGTAGTATATCCGTGCGTTTTTGCCCCGTACAACGGTCACTCAGTTTCTTAGTCAGTTCCGACGGTCCATAGTCACCAGTACCATTTTGGTTGAATTCAGTGGTGAAGATGTATCCGTTTGAGAAAGAATCACAAAGGTTGACCATTATTCCGACGGAGTTCAAGGGATATGTCGAGGAATCTACTTAGTTACTTATTTGATAGTCAGTTGTGTAACTATGCGCATGACATCTGACTCACATGGACGCTGTTTTATACGTTATGTGTTCTGCGGTATTCTCATTTGTTGTAGACAGTATCACAAATTTGAGCTGTGGTTTTATACTTATCGAACTAAAGATTAAAATGGTGCGCGTGGAACCTGAATCGTTCCTTAGCTGTCCACTTCTTCGACGCACTTATGTAGGTGAAGCCTTATTCCACTGAATCAGACTGTCCCAGAGTTGTTGCATTAATTCCTAGCTTGAACATGAAAAGTGGAAAGCCTGTAGTGGGAAATCGAGCACTTCATGATCTTGGATTTATTGGATCTTTCGCTGACACTGAAAAAAGTTGGATTTTTATACATCACAAAGAACGAACTCAAAGTTTCCATTAACACTCTTGGTTACCCTTATAAACTCAGGAGACATTAATTTAAATAGAAAGGAAAAAATCATTTCAGGAATGAAATTCCGGCCATCACTAAGCATTTGTTTATCATTTTTTTTCTAAGAGGTGGGATTGGCATCCACTTGAATGATAGCTCTTTAGGTAAGCAACGTAGAGTTGGTGGATCGTTTGGGTGTCGAACCAAATATAGTTGGCACATTACATGTGACTACATCACATGTCATTTTTCGGTCTGATAAAGGAGGCAAAGAGTTATGGGTAAGTACGACAAATGGATTTCCGTTTTCTGAAAAGAATCACTAATTGATGTAGGGTGACAGGTCTCTCGAAGGGCGCTTTTGGCGCAATGGTCGGGGACGCCCTGCAGTACACACGGGGTCGATCCTCGCACCCAAAGCTCACCAAGCTTTCTATCCTTCCGGGGTCGGTAAATTGGTACCAAGCTTGTCTAGGAGGTTAGCAGCACTAGCTCGATACATCAGTAGGCCATCGCGAGTCATTGTAAAGGCCAGATATGCATTCAATCTCCTTCAAACGATGCTTAATGAAGCCGAATGCATGGCTGAATGCACGCATCCGTCAGGGCTTGATCAACGTTGAGAGCTTTATCCTTTTTATTAACAGGTCTCTCCACGATGATGCCACTAAGTTTGCTTGTTGTGAAGAAATGGCATATGTAGTATTTTAAAGTGAACGTTTAAAGGAATTTTTTGGATTTTTCTTTTTTTTTTTTCGTCAACAAAGAAATTATAGATAGCGAACGGTTTGATCGGTAGTGTCGAACGCGGGTCATTGTCAGCAGCTGGTTGTCCTCTAGTGATTCGTTGCAAGCACTTTCAGGTCAACGGAATTTTTGCAAAACGTCCTTTCATTATGTTGGTCAGTTATAGGTTATCAATCTGCTTATTGGAAGGGATAAAATCTGTCAAGATCTCTATGAAACTTTATTGAGGTGCTCTAAAGTCGGTAAGTTTTTTGTTTTCCGTTTGGACATTTACTAATTTCTCTTCGTGACTTTTTTTTAGAAATCAAGATATGAAATTGTTTTACAATGAAGGGAGACTTTGAAGAAACTTCCACTTCAGTGTTTAATAACGATGTCTCAGATTTGTTTGATATTTTTAGTGAATGTATGTGAATTAGTAGCGTTTGAAAACCGTGATGTGGCAGAAGACGCACGTGGATGGTCTCGATTGGATTGGGCTGTTGAGTTTACGAGACAAGGTGTTGATGGTGAATGGGCTGAAAATGATCTCAATGAGTCTTATCGGGTCAGTAGCTCTGTGTACCTTTGGGAAATAAGGAAAATTGTGAAACATTTTCATGTCATTTGTAGTAATTGCTGTGGTTTCGAATTCAGCTAAAGTTTATTTAAATGTCACGTTCTGACTAAAAGGGTTCTGCTCAAGACAAAGACGTTAAAATGTTAGCTGAATAAAAGTTGTATAAAAACCTCGTGTAGGCTCAACAGTTTAAACGCATAAAAGAGACCACAATGATGCTGAGATATTTGGGAAACTCTGGACGGCAGGTGTCTGCGGTGGGGATCGAACACGTTATTACTCTTAGCGGGGCTAACGCCTTCAGCTCATGGTGTGGCGGTGAGCGCGTTAGTCCTCGGTAGGGGTAATAACGCGTTCGATCCCCACCGTAAACACTTTCCATCCAGTGTTTTGCTATTATCTCAGCATCGTTGTTGTTGATTTCGCGAAATACTCTGCCGTGGAAATTGCAGTGGGCAGTAAATAAAAAACAGCATAAAAGAGAATCCTTTCAACGGTTTCATGGCGATAACTAAGGCGTTTTGGAACAATGTCTATGATCACCTGTCACCTGCAGTATCACCTGTAGTCCTGTTGATCATCAAGTGACGAACGGGCGCCAGTAAATCTTCCATTTTTCCCTCTCGCGTGCAAGAGTAGCCCAGTGGGTTCTCCTCGCTCTAAGAACTCGTCGAGCATCATATCTTTCTTCAAGGCTCTTTGTGAGGAACTCTGACAATCGGGTCGGTGGTCTTCATGCAGTGCATTTAACATCCCAAGCAATTCAGTCACTAACGGCACTTGTCCATCGGTTGTCATTCATACGCATTACGTGTCCAGCCCACCTTATCTTCGACTGTTTGGCGTACAGAACGGCATCTTTGATTTTTCTTCGGATCTCACCCTTGCTTGTGTGGAACGAGATATTCCTAGCATCGTCCTTTCGACTGCGCGGTCGATAACGCTGAGTGACCTTCCATCCTGCTTACGCAGCGACCAGGTTTCTGGCGCATACGTTAGGGCAGGAAGTACCGTTGAGTCGAAAAGATGGGCAAGGAGTCGGGCGTTCTTTGTTCTCTTCACTACATCCTCGATGCTCTTGAAAGCTACCTAAACCACTGGTTTCCTTCTGTTCTGCTCTGGAGCTAGGTCTTTCATTATATTGATTTTCCAAACTAGATAGATACAGCTGGAGCATTCGGAGATATTCGTTCCGTTGAGCGTGAATGGGGCATGCGAAACCAATCCGTTCTTCATGAACATCGTTTTTGTGAGATTTAGTCGAAGACCAATGTTTCCACAGGCTTTATCAAAGTCGTCAAGCATACGTTCAGCTTGGCTAATGTTTGGTGTTATAAGGACGATGTCTTCAGCAAAGCGAAGATGGTGTAACTGCCGACCATCGATTTTCACCCACATGCTATCCCATTCCGATGTTCGCATGACGTTCTGGAGGGTTGGGGTAAATAACTTTGGCGAGGTGATATCGCTTTGCCTAACTCCTCTCTTGACGTCAATGTTAATATCGTTGTAGAATGGTGATAACTTGGTTGTGAAATTTTTGAACAGCTCACGAAGAATCCTTATGTCCTGAGTAGGGACTCCTTGGCTATCAAGGGCTTCCAAGACTGCTTCTATCTCAACTGAATCAAAGGCTTTCTGTAAATCGATGAAAGTGAGACAGACCGGTCTTTTGTACTCTCGAGATACTTCAATGAGCCATGTTACCGCATGGATATGGTCGAACGTGCTAAATCCTCTTCGAAACCCTGCTTGCTCACTTGGCTGTCCTTCGTCTAGTGCTCTGTCAATCCTTTTTAGGATGACTCTAGTGAAAACTTTGTTGACGACACACAGTAAGCAGATTGGGCGAAAGCTGCCGATATCGTGTAGGACACCCTTCTTGAACAATAACACGGTCTTGCTGGTCTTCCACTGAGTAGGGAACTTGCATTCAGACAGGTGACGTGTGAAGAGCCGAGCCATTGTGTTTACGAGGACTGGCGGAAGGTTGAGTTGTTCTGGTCTTATCCTGTCCTTACCTGGCGCTGTTCGACTTTTCACCGACGAAATGGCATTTCGGATTTCGGAAGGGAGAAACGGTGGTACAACATATCCATCCTCCTTTATTTAATATGACGGAAGGTGGACGTGGCTATCGAAGAGATCCGAGTAGTATTTGTGAATGATTTTCTCCATTGTCTTTCTGGACGCTATAACTATTCCGTCTGGGCGTCGGAATGCAATCATTTTGGTCTTGTAGTTGGCGAAGCTTCGGTGGGCTTTGCGAATGCTTTTCCCAGCCTCTGCAACTTCGACCATTACTGTTGCTCTTCTCTCTCAAAGATTTTCTTTTATCGCCTGCCTTCATTGTTTTGCAAGTTCGGACGTTAGCTCGCGGTTGCCTGCAGCTCGTGCGATTCCACGATGGCGTATCAGCTCGAGTGTTTCTGGATGCAGACGTCTCTTGGTGACTTTCGAACTCTGAGCTTTCATAGCGTTACCGTGAAGATGTTGAATGAGCCGATCGTATTCTTCGTTGATGTTATCGACAACGGCATCTTCCCAACATCCGACTAATGAATTGAATAAATCCCAGTTTACGGTGGTTCTGAGATTTCGGTTTTAGAATTTAGCGGCTTTTTCTCCTTTCCGCGAGAAATAGGATTTTGCACGAAGGAGACGATGGTCTGATCCCATATAGAATTTTGGGACAACAACGACATCGGTTAGGCAAAACCTTCTATTTACTATGATGTGGTCTATTTCGTTATGGTACTCTCCATTGGGAGACTCCCACGTCCAGCCGCACGAGGGTGCGGCTTCTGGAATTGCGAGTTATCATGGATTGTTTTGGTCGTCGTGATAAACTCAGATAGCCGCTCACCCTCTTCGTTCCATTCTAATCACTGGGTCCCAATGTGGCATTATTCAGTCGTTTTTTTTGGTCCAGTCTTGGCGTTGAAATCTCCAATGATGACCTTGAAGAATGTAGGGTCTTCTCTGTAGAACTTCTCCAAGTCCATATAGAACGCTTCGACTTCTTCGTCATAGTTCGATGTCGACGCCTAAACGACGAAGATTATCAAAGCCGGAATTGATCCACGTCTTCCTAATCGTAAACGTCCGATTCGGGTTGTACGTTGTTCGAATGAATCGATGTTCATGGACAAACTCGTGTTGACGAGGACGCCTACGCCGCAGACTGCTCTACTGTCGCATGTTCCGAGGAACAGTTCTTGTTCGGTGTCATAGACAGCGTTGAAAGGCTGGCGTCTTCTCGTCTCGGCCAAGCCGTTGACGTACGTTGTCCTTCTCGTTTGCATGAGCAAGTCTTCTATCGAAGACTCCGTTGCAAGTGTACCTGCATTGTAGGTACAAATCGTCACCATAGTTCTTAGTAATCCAGGCAGCTTCCATTGGCTCTGAGATGTTAATAGCCTCTCCGTACTCGTCCTACCCAACGCTGCGAAACTAGGGGCCCTTTCGGTGTTAGGAGAATGAAGCCCGTTTTTTTTTTACTGTGTTTAGCATTTTTGATACCCACGTATAGCGTACCGGGCTCTGAACGTGGTGGCTGGGTATACTCACGGGTAGCTTGCCAGGCTCTCCCAGAGTGGACATGGAGCTTATTTGTTGGAGGCGACTCCTAACCGCCTCCCATATACTTCCCAGTCACTTGGTTGCAGGGTTTTGGCCGAATTGACTCCTAGAATACAATCCAAGCAAGAACGCATCAGCACACGCATGTATGAATACACCTAACAAATACAGATAGTATGTGCCAAATTAGCGCAGCAGAAGCAGCGACTCCATCCCCTGGATCCACCTGCGTCTCAGGGAAGCAATGGTAGCTTTTTGTCAGCGATTAACCCCTTATCCGCCACCTGGAGAGACGCCACGTAGCCTCGCGACTAACCGGCTCGAGATCCGTGGTTTATTATATGTTCAGGAATGATACGTTCATTTATGGCTTGATACTTCTCTTTTACTTTTTTCTCTAAAAATTATTTTTTACTTTTTTCTCCTAAAATTACTATGTTGGAACTTACAAGAGTGAGAGAAACAAGCGGTGTAGAGCGAGGTATCTACGCAATTCCCATATTTCATTTTCAGAGCTGCGATACATATCCTGAACGTTTGTGGTTACCTGTTTCTGCTAACAAAACCATCCTTTTGGGTTCATGCCGATTTCGATCTAGGGGACGATTGCCGGTACTCACATATTTCCATAAGCCAAATGGAGCTGCGATCTGCAGGTAGATTGTAGTAAAGTTCTTCATCAAGTGAAGTGCTTATTTGTTCTTGGGATGTTTTTTTTTGATTTAGTAAACGTGGTATTTGTTTAATAATTATTTCTTACACTTGTGGTCTGAAGTTTTGCAAATGTCTCAGCATCAGTTGAATGAAATCTTTTCATACTGGGATTAACTGGATTATCAAAAGATTTCAATGAACTGTTCCTTGAGCATAATGGCTGGAAAGTGATTCCTCAGTTGTTTTCGAACACTGCGGAAGAACCTATCGACCTTATCAAGTTAGGTTTGGGCGAACGAATCTGTGTAGAGATACGTAATGGTAGAGAAATACGATTTGGATCTCATGCTTATGACCAGCATCTGGATATTGTCCCTTCCGATGTTGAAGAAACGGTCACAGCTTGTGAACCTGATAAGGAGTCGCTTGAAGAGATCTATCGACAAACAAGAAGAAACATCCCCATATTGTACGTCTGCCCGCGGTGATTCGGTGATTCTTGTTTCTCCACCTATTCGGACTTCATAATGTTTTGAATATCTCAGTATCATTGTGGTTGTGTTTCATATAATACGCTGCTGTGAAAAATTGTATTAAATAAAAATTTAGCACTTGTGCTTATTGTTTAAAGCATTTGATTCGTTTGTAACCGCGTCATTGAACGAGGATTGCTGTTAATGGCTCCTGTTGCTTCAATAAGCTAAATAGGATAATTTTAGGTGTGCTCAGCCGTTGACAGGTTTCTCAGCACGATGTCTCGAAGACGAAAAACTGATGGAGTTGATTGGCAAAGCAAATAAGAACTGTGACACTCTCTTTCTCGTCGACACAAGGCCAATAGTTGGTCTTCTTTTTTTGACCTTGTTTGCTTGGTTATTTACGGTGTTTTTTCTTGTAAAGACGAAGTGATTGTGAAATAACTGTTAAGGGTGAACATATTTCTAATCTTCTAATTTTCATAACTCCTGACGTGTTAAAAAAGCTCTGATCGTACATTTGTAACTGACAAGTTTCAGCTGTTTTAATATGAAATCATCAATTGTTTTGTCTAGGCCGCTGGAAACGGGTTCACTCGTCCTATAATGATTTCATGATTTATTCCTATTTTTAAGGAAATATGAAGTAAGATTTTGTAGATGAATGCAATGGTTAATAAGGTGCAAGGCAAAGGGTTTGAAGACGAGAGGAACTACTCCAACACTCGATTCCATTTCTTCGATATTGAAAACATTCACGTTATGCGAAGCAGTCAAATAAAGCTTCTTGAAGGTTTGTTCCAGATGTTTTCTAAAGTTTTCGACCGCATAGTGATTGATGAGGATCCAAACATTTTCGTAATTGTTGGCCGTCTTGGTGATCCGTTTTACAGGATTACGTGCACATTCTACCTCATTTCCCTTCTCATTCCTTCTCACTTGTAGTCCATGGCGGTAGTTTGTTTCATATGTGGTGACGTTTACGAGTATCAAATCGCAGTTTAAATTTGTTTGATTCTACAGATATAACTGGCTAAATGAGGTACAAATACTATAAGTGGGACACCGTGAGTTGTCGCCCAAAATAGCTGCATCTCGCGGGCTTCTCTTCAGTGTTCCTTAGTCCTTTTATCTATCTGTCGTCTACTGTTGCCCTCATACCATCAGTGTTTCACATTCAAATTGTACTTCTTCGAATATCGAAGAAGGTTTTTTATTGGTTTCTTAAATTGCGTAGTCCGTTTAGGTGTAGTGTGTGCTGGTCATGTTTCTGAACACGTAGTTTCATGTGTTTTGTGAAGGCTTCACTGGTACATCTAAGAAACACGTCGATGCTCTCGAAAAGACGAAGCTGTGTTGAAAACTTTCCAGCACTCCATATTTGCTTTCTAAACCAATGCAGCGGCCGTATTGTTCGTAGAACTGTGGTTTAGGTGGCAGTCGGATCTAGTATCGATTTTCTTTTCTTCTAGAGCATCCTACTGGTGGTGCGATACGAGCTTTTTGACTAAATGATGCACTTTAAATGCCGTTTTTCCTTGTTCAGTTGCTGTGCAATTTTCCGAAAAGTGAATTTCAGGGAAGAGGATTGGAGGGCTGATGTGGGCAGTAGTCAAACAAAACAGTTTCCATGTTCACTTGCCACATTCCCTTTCCTACAGTTTTCTTATTCTTCCATTTGGATCTCCGGCAACCAATTGTCTAGTCCAACTTCATAGATGGTGACACCTGCTACTTGTACATGGGCTGATATTTATATAGTTAATTGGACTATTCATTTCTTTCCCAGAGTCCCGGTGTAGTATTGCTGGGGTGTTTCCAGGTGACTACCATTTGGCACGGGGTTACTCTTAGTTAGGCTCTCCGAAATGCCGAGCTGCTCGCGCTGGTGACAATGCGATGAACTGTTCACTATGCGCCACATTTCAAGTAGTAGTACCTTTAGCTGCAGTAGAGCAGTGGCCCTTCAGGGCGTGCCTAACTGTTTGTCTTTTTCCTCATTGCTGTTTTTAGCATGCACAAAGTCTCGTACAATAGCTGATTACTTGCGGTCATTGGAATCTTCTGGATGGTTGAAACATTTACGCGCTATTGTCGAATGCTCAACTTTTTTGGCTGATTCGATATCAAAAGGTATTGATACAATCGTATTTCCATTTTTACGTTGTGTTATATTTTGTAAACTATAAGTCCAACAGGAGAGATGGACAAGATGAACTTTAGAAGTGTGTTGCATTAATTTTTGTTTGGTTCTGCTTTCTAATAAAGGACACAGTGTTATAAAAATGCTGCCTAACGGGATTATACAGTAGTGCTATAAAGACGTTATGTATCGCCTAATGATAATATATGCGATAATAATGTGATAATATGTGGGGAATTACTGTCTACTGTGTTTGATGGCCATTCTTTACGTTGGCTTTGTTTTGTGGAATATGTAAGAGGGAAAAACACCATTAAATAAAAGATAAATGCTAAAGCTCTCGGCCTTGATCAATCTCTGAGTGATACGCCATGTATTCGATCTCATTGAGCATCGTTTGGAGGTTATTGAATGCATATCTGGCTTTTACAATGATTCGCAGTGGTCTACCGATATGTCGAACCAGTGCTGCTATCTTCCCAGACAAGTCTGGTACCAATTTGCCGACTCCGGATGGACGGAAGGCTTCGTGAGCCCGGGGCGCCGGGATCAATCCCATGTGTTTTGCAGGGCACATCCGACCACTAGGCCACATGAGCCCAAAACATCATTAGATATATATGGTAATGCTTACTCTCTGGTTTTAAATCTACATTTATTCTTAGTGTTTCGTTACCGCTTCCAAACTTGGTTCTCTTTCGTAGATTGTTGTAAAGTTCGCAAATGTTGAATTCACACAATAAAGAATGATTTCAGGAATTTCATGTGTGGTGCACTGCTCAGATGGATGGGATCGCACTTCACAAACAGTATCACTGGCTCAGTTACTGCTTGATCCATTTTTTCGTACGATTCATGGTTTCCAGGTGCTATCTTCTGCTTTGTTTTCCTTTAGCTGCCTCTCTTTTCATTCTAATGGAAAGACATTCCTTTTAGGTTCTGATAGAAAAGGACTGGCTAGGATTTGGTCATAAATTCGATGACCGATGTGCTCATGTTGGCGCACTAAATGATGAAGCAGCTAAGGAGGTTCAGTGTTTGAAACCATTCTGGTTTCCGTTTAATCATGAGTTTCTTCACTTCATACACTAAATATGTCAGATATCTCCAATATTTTCCCAATTTCTCGATTGCGTCCACCAAATAATGCGCCAACGTCCTCGAGCCTTTCAAGTCAGTTGATTTATTGCGTGCAATAAAATTCTCAGAAATATCGTCACTTGGTGAAAAAAGTTTTTAGTTCAATGACCGTTACCTAATCAACATTCATGAACATGTCTACTCATGTCAGTTTGGAACGTTTATTGGAAACTGCGAGAAGGATAGGAAAGCAAGTGTTTCATCGGTATTTTAAGTGATACGCAATTAGTATATCCGTGGTTTAGAGCACTCTTAAACTCAATAGTTTTGTAACTGGTGACTGTTAATTTTGCTCACTTGTTGTTTAGTATTAGTTTACTTAGGATCTCCAACTGGGGAAACGAACAAAATCGCTGTGGACATATTTGGATCTACGTCAGGACGATTATTTCAATCCATTTTATGAGGTAACAGTTATTTCGTCGGACGAGACTGTTGTGACGATGTTTCAGAATCTCCAAAAAAAATTTATTTTGCATCTTATTGCTGTTTTCATGAGGTATTTCTAGGGTGGTGTATAGAGTTAGTACCCGAAAAACGTATGTGGCGGTTAATGCTCTAAGGGCGCGTGTGACGCAGTGGTTGGAGGCGCCACTGCGGCACACACGTGGAATCGGTCTCAGTACCTATGGTCCACCAAGCCCTCCATCCCACGGGTCGACAAATTGGTACCAGACTTGTCTAGGAGGATAGCAGCACTGGCTCGATACATCGGTAGGCCACCGCCAGTCATTGTAAAGGCCAGATATGCATTCAATCACCTCCAACGATACTTGATGAAGTCGAATGCATGGCGCATCCCTCAGGGATTGCTCAATGCCGAGTGCTTTATCCTTTATCCTTTTATAGAGTTAGTACAAGGCGATTCTGTGAACTAGTTTTGAGAATATACAAATGTAGGAAAGGTTCAGATTGGGTAATGAGTTAGTATTATTTAGGAAAGTTGTATGCATGTAAAAATTAGTTTACTGGAAACAAACGAGTCGAAGAACAAGAGTTTAGAATTCTAGGTCACGAAAATGGGTGCCATTTCTTTCAGGACTACTGATTTTATATGATATTTCAAAGATTAACTTAAGCCGACAACGTTCTCTGTTCTGTCCGGGATAGACACTCGTGCAGCCGCATTCAACGTTTGGCATGCCTTGTACAATCGTTTCGACGACGGTCTTCTACCACGAGAAATGGTGATTGACACGGTGATGACAACGATGGAACATGTTGGAGTTTTGGAAAGTCATATTACGGCATTACGAATGGTAAGTTTTATTGTGCAGTTAAGTTATATTAATGAAACTGTTTCTGCCATAGGGGGCGGACGGGTCTGGTGCAGTGGTCAGAGGCGCCCTGCAGCAAACATGCGATCCCCATCCCTCCGGGGTCAGCAAATTGGTACCAGACTTGTCTCGGAGGATAGCAGCACTGGTTCAATACATCGGTAGGCCACCGCAAGTCATCGTAAAGGCCAGATATGCACTCAATCGCCTCCAGACGTGCGTAATGAAGTCGAATGCATGGCGTATCCCTAAAGGGATTGATCAACGCCAAGAGCTTTATCCTTTATCCTTTATTATTTCTGTCATAAGTAAGCGCAGTAGTGAATAACATTTTTTTTTTGCAAAGCATCAATATGTTGCTGGCTGTACTTCAAGTATCTATTGATAGCTCATGGATACTAATTTATAATGGCTATCTTGATTTCAACACGATGCTGCTAGATGTTGAGCACTTTTGAATGCCTTAGAGCGAATTTCACAGGGTTCCGAAGAAAGGAACTTTCCCACTCAGCAAAGAAAAAATGAATTTGCTACACGCTTTTACGGAGTTTCACTCTCTAGAATTGGTTAGAAGGTCATCAGTTTTTTCAGAAGTCGACAACACTACTCACATAAAGATCAGTTACCTTTATACCGTAAGATTTTAACACGTCTCCGTCGTTAAAACGTTATGGCTTATGGTACCATCGCATTTAGTGCGACCATTCACAGTATCCTTTCTACGAACTTGGCTTCAAGAAATCAATTCCTTTTGGTTCAGTGCGTCGTTCCATTGTCATCCTCATCAACCGAATGCAGGAGCATTCACACTATTTTCGGCGCTGATGTATAATCAGTAACAGGGTTTTTTCGATCTTTTCTATTCCCCAACTGATGTGTCAGACTGCAGCAATCTCGCTTGGGAGAAGCACCCTTATTTTCGAAATACTATCAAAGAGTGACGTGTGGCTTAGTCCAGTGGCCTAGAAGCATGGGGAAGCTGAGTTCATCAAATACAGTTTGTTCGAAACTTAAATATTGTTCTCTTTTCAAGAAGAAAGGCCTCTGATCCATGGAGGAGTTAATGAATTGTCGTTCCGCTAAATGTGAGGCAAATACAATTTCCGTCACTAAATTCTCAAGAGAGCTCCACATTCTCTCTATGAAGACAATGTTATTGCAAATAAAGTGGAATCAATAAGCTGGTTCCCGACATGACTTCGCACAATGGTCCAAATATCGAATAAATCATGGAGGCGCTTCGTGTGAGAACTTTATCCTATCCTTGATTGCGAGTGGAACAGCCACCCAGGGTTTTATTCGTTTGTTCACTATGCAAATAATATTGGAAGGCGAGTGTCGCAAGGTGAACTGGTTATCTTTAATATAATTGTAAGTGAAAAAAAAATCCTGGAAGGTAATTTTTTCGATAGCGAAATCGTCGCTAACGCGAGCCTTACATCCTACTGATGTTCACTAAAACTGCTTATTGGATTTAGAAGAAAACTTCACCAAGAGACGAGGAACAACTTGCTTCATCCTAGGAATTATCATCTGCAAACTACGCAGTTCGGTTCCAGAATTGCTCGGTGTTCTGTTTTGTAGCTGAGACATGGGATAATAGTTTATATAGAGGATTCTGCACCCCTCGCCCAGCGCTAAACAAAGTTTCATGTTCATGGAATGCTTCTGTATGAGCCAACGTTGAGGTGAACTACACAATCTGGATTTTGTAAAAATGTTTCGTCTTTGGGACCCAGAGTTGTACACATTTAGAACGAAGCATTTATTGAGCGGTTATGTGATGAGAAAAGTCCCGAAATGTAACAATGTAAATAGTGAATAGGATGACATGAGCATTCCAACGTTTCTTACCTTCGCTAGACTAGTTGTCCCTCATCTGCGATCTAACCGGAGCTGTGTTTAACACATTTATCAAGTCATCACATCTATGGATCTCTATAATGGGATGAAGTAGCCGGTATGACCACTGTAGTGATCACTATTTTCTGGTGGTTTATTTTGATACACAAAAGTTTTTTCCTACACTTCTTGTATTCATTTGATAGTTTATCCAACGCAAATGCTGTAGTGAGCATCGATCTAGAAGTGTCCTCTTATAATCCGGTGCCGAGGTTAATAGAAAGTCGATCTTGGGAATTATCCCCTTAATAATTTCGCACCAATTTCTCATTCCGTATCCAAGAGGCTACTGCTGTTGAAGAAGTTGTGACAAAGTGAGCGTCGCCTGTGAACAGTCGCAGAAGTGCCTCCGCCTCGAAGAACTGACATCGCATGCAGTGTGCAGCATCATTTTTGGCAGTCCATTCGTTGCTTTTCAAGTTGCGATCACTATGATGACTGTTGGGTATTGTATAGTATGAGCGAATGTCAAAACAACAGGGTAAACATCGTAATATTCTTTGCACAACTTTCGCAAGACCTGACGGTGCTGGCAGCAGTCTGATTCCACAGTGCCACGAGTGTGTTTTCTTCATACATAAGAACTGTGTTTGCACCAAGAACAAGAGAGGTCCGTAGAGGAACATAAAGCATACATAGGACAAGGGAATTGCCAGAATTCTTTCAAAATGCAAAGAAAAACCGAGTTATACGCAAAAAATCGGGCGCACCTTCCAGCTTGCCAGACATTGTGGCTGGTGTGACCTCCATAGTGATCGTAGTGAATCCGGAAAAAAATTAGACGTTGCTGCGAATGTGTTAAAATGAAGTGGCTAACTAATTAACATAATAAAGGATGGAAAATAAAAAAAGAATGGTTGAATAGATGGTAATTACTATTAGCCCGTTTATTTCTACTTAACACTAGCCATTAGTGCTCCCACTTGAATACTTTTTCTCTATTGAATGCATCACTATAGATGACCATAACCCTGGCAGAGCACATGGCGTCCAATGAACTTAAAAGCACTAAGGCAAATCCCGTCAAATCCAAGAAACTTGAATACTTCCTTAAAACCACGTTAATGCAATTACAAATACACTTTACACTAACGGTGTTCTAGCGAATCGCAGAGCTTAAGTGTTACCTTGGTCGAGGAGGGGCATGTTGCGGAAATTCTATGGCAGACAGTGGTCATAGTAGCGGAACGGGACAATCAGAAGAGCGGATGGTTTCCGATCAACGACCACCGTCACGCGAAAGCGGCATCTACGAGCAGGGCTTGCCGTACTCGGTTGGTGCTGTTTAAAAGTCCACGAACTGTTACGCAGAGCATGAGTCAGACAGAGATTACGCCCACTTTTTGTCCAAATTTTATGTTCGCACCCTGTAATAAATAGTTACTAGATCATTTATACAGGATGTAGTGAAAGTTTTTGTATTGTGTAATTTGAAAAGTCATGATGCAACCGCCAACAGTGCTCCTCGCCATTGTTATATAAACTGATTTGAAGATGAGTGTTCGAATTAAATGGGTTTGAACTCCTAAAACTTAGGAGATGCCTCGACATTAGAGAAATAAGTGCTGTGTGACCTTAGTGATACAGGCGTTTTGAGGCGAAATCTGCCATTACTTTCCGCCTTGTTCCTTCTTCCTTTCTGTTTCTTTGCTAGATTTCCACCGTACCTTTTTACTGCGAAATAAACCCATCAAATTATGATCAATTTTTCTGTTGCCTTACGATAGACATTAATTATAACCTGTAATATTTAGGAAGAAGTGCTAACTCGCCTCCCAGTTCGGTGGCAATCCCTAAGGGATGCTTCACATTGTACTTCAAAATCATGTCTTGCTGAGTTTGCTTCGGCAGTTGATCGAAGAATTCACTGCCATCGTTGTGGAAAGGTACGCATGTACATAAGCAGCATAACGTTTCTCTATAGTTCAAAAGACCATTTCACCATAAACTTCAGCGTTAATAACTAATTTATGTAGATCCTTCGAACTGCCCTTGTTGAGCTCACGCGAGGTTGGCAAAGGAAACAGTGGGAGGGGGGGGGGGGGGGGGGGAGCAATAGATGTAAAGTATAAATTTTAGTACATTCTCTTTTTTTGCTGGTGGTTCATCTGTTACTATATGCTGAACTCGATATTATTGAGCTCACTTTCTGCGATTTGTGTTTTCGCCTTAATGTTTCACCTTTGTTTTTTGTATTTCTTGCTCGCTTGATTTTTTTAAAGTAGAACGAGTGCAAAATTCGTGAAAGTGCTTCTCTTATTCTGTCCTTATGAAACTTGGGGAATGATTTAAGACTGTGCTTCTAAAATAATGTTTTGCAGGTGTTTTGTCGGCGATGCGTACGGGTTACTGCAGATGAACGGGAGCGAATTTGTGAAGGGTGTCGAGGCATTTCATAGCATTGACGATATCAAGTTGTTTCTTCGGTCTAGGAGCTATCTCGAGGCGTTATGGTTGTGATAAGGAACTGGATCGAGAGAGTTTACAACGAAGTGCTTAGTGAGAATTTTACCGTCTCATATGCATTACCTGAAGGTACAATGCAGCCGTATCTTGTTATCTTAATTAGCATTGTAGAATGTAGAAAGAAGCACCATTCTTACTTAACTTGTTTTGTTATATGCGGAAGTTGAGAGCTTGAAGAAAATACGAAAACATTACGAAAGGGTAAAGTTTTCTCCGTGATATTATTGCGCTAGGAATCTGAGTTAAAAGTATGTATGGTCCTTTTGATCAACAGGTGAACTGACGTCATATAAGCGAAATCTGGGTAGAAAGATGCATTCGGCAAATGTATACGTGTGGTAGAAAGACAAATTGTACCTGTATGAAACAGCATAAGTTCAAATTGATCTCAATCTATGTCCATAGTGAACGGTGATTCCCATATTTGCTTCGATTTTATTGCTATACTTAGCACATAAATATATAAGAGCAAAACTGAATATTCAAAACAGACACATGTGAAACGTAAGACGCGCATTCAAACTCTTAAGAAAAGACAGAGTAGAGGTGAACGCTGAAGGTGAAGGATTTACATCTTTTCTTTGCACCGCTACTAGGATGGGATTGTTCCTGGTCGCGTCGGTTTTCGTCGTAAGACACTTCACCCCTTATTATGTTATAAATTTAGAGTGTATTTTGTTAAAGAGCATTTCATTTCATTGCCACATTTTAGCATACGTTGGTATCGCGCTTACTTGACGGTTAGAGATTGTTTCACGTCCTAGTTTTCTTCACCATCTAGCCCTTCTTTGGAAGACTACACATAATACTAGGAGTACTGCCGTTACCGTTTTAGAAGCTTGAAAAGTTCTTGGATACGGTGCTAGGTAATAAATGATAGTTCTTTACAATTTGCATGTTGCTTAAACCTGTTGAATCTATTGGTGTGAAGTCTGCGGATACCATATGCTCTATATATTTTTCCGAAAAATTGCTCTAATTTCAGATTTGCTTAGAAATGAAATCCATAGAATTTAAATAGAAGTTTGAAGCTTTAAAGTTAGCACAACGGGGCCAGCGGCAGATGTTAGTGATATGTTGAGTGACATCGTAGTGTCCTGTTCGACAAAATCCCACTTGTTTATTAGTTTCGTTGCTCGAAATAAGGGCCGTAACTTCAGAAGGCGAAAATAGTGCAATGTTCTGGATTTCACGAGACCATAACTTCGTTGAATGGGAAATAATGTGGAATTTATTGGTAGTCTTTAGATTACTTCACTAGTTACTGCTTCAATAGAGTTCACCATGAGCTGAAGATGTATTTGTTTAAATTCTGGAGGTGCTATTATTTTGAGGCACTGCAGATCATATATTCGCTATAGTCAGCGATGTGTTAATAGGCTTGGTACTGGGACGCATTTCTGAGTCATTTTGTCTTTCTTTTCATCTTGTAATGAAAATACGAAGTCCAAATTTCGATGGCATACCCAGTGATTTCACGAGAGCCAATGTTTTGGTAATCGTGATATCTGTAACGTTAATACTTTTGTGTAAGTTTGTAGACCGAGCAGCATCTCCCTGGATTACTGGTTCTCTTGTTCATTGCTGTTTATGGTTTTTTATGCTGCAGTACAGATATACTATATAGCCTTCAGGAGGTGTTTTCTAATTCTGTTTAGTATGGCGTTCGCGTTGAGTTTACTATCATGAGGCGCTGTTTAATTGTATCCATTGTTTTGAATAGTAATCAGTTTAATCTGTCCAGAATGTTGTTTAAATTGCTTTCTTTTCAAACATTTACTAATTATTTTCTAATTATTTATCTTTTTCTTCATGTTGTCTCGTGTTCGCTTTTGACCCTGTTATTCGTTCTCATTGGGTCTATATTTGCGGGTTTACTGTTTAAGATGCTTGTAGTAAAACCTTCTTTGAAGCATTACTTTTTAAAACGAGTCCATAAAAGACCTATACGACGGCAAGCGTTTGCCAATTCTTAACCATTAACTTCACCTTCCAATCAGTAGCGTGTGGAAGAATAAACTCTTGATCGATCTCCTCGGCCAAACACGGATCCATCTCATAAATTCGGCGAGTTAGATGTTGTTGTGGCCTAGAGCATAACAAAGCTAATTGGCCTGCCCAACCCGTTTTGCTGTTAATTATCAAGCGTTTCGAGCGAGCATCCGTCCTTTGGCTAAGTCTATAGAGCCATTCGCAGCTCTCATAAAGCAGACGTACCAAATGGGGGGTTGCTCGCTCGATGAGTACAAGAAGTGTCACATTGTGTTATGAGGAAGTAGACGTTGGTGTCGGTGCTTTCCGATTGTAATCACTATTTATTACTGCCTACTGTTTTAAGAAAGACGGAACGAAGAACCTGCATAGTGTGAATGTGAAAGCGCCTACCCACTTAAACGTGTTCGGTCGCCACCGCAGGCACCTGCCGTCCGGAGTTTTGCAAATATCTCAGCATTGTGGTTTTCCGATTGTATGAAGACCAGTAAATGAGAGCTCATTGCCAATGATTGTCACTCAGGTCAGTGATATGTTGTGGCCATCTGGTTTAACAAGACGTGAGGTATCTCCTAACATCCTTAATCTCTTTGAAGTGATAACGATAAAGTATGGTTCCTCTTGAACGTCCAAGTACAGCAGTGTGTTTTTTGAAGTGGGTGACAAGAAAACGATTATGGAAGAGAGCAGGGGTGGCCTCTGGGCTAAGTATATGTTTGCCGCAGCCTTTTTGTGCATCTAAGAAATCGGGGCTTCAAGAGAGGACATGAGTGAACTGTGGCGAAGTGAGTTAGGCGCAACTGGCTGCGCAGCGCTAAACTTTAAATCTGAGTAGTTCAAAGAATTGTGCATATGGTCCAAAGATAAAAACACAACGAGACTGTCAATAACGATGTAAAAAATCAAGGTAGGGCGTGGTCGTTAAGCTATTGCCCGAGAGGAGTTTTATAGTCCTCCGCAGTCATTACTATTATAAAGCTGTCCTAAGGTAGACCGCAGCCATTGCGAAAAAAACTTCTTTATACAAACAGAAACTTAGCTTAATATAATGTCTCTGTGGGCAAAGATACGATCACTAGTACTTCGTAGAGGGAAAATAACTGGTTTAACAACTCAATACAACAATAATGCAGGCACAAATCTCATAATATTTTTGCACAACTATAGTATTTTCACTTTTTCTGCATATAGTCAAGGTGATCTCGTTGTCGATGTTGGTACGCTGATACTGTATAACAATGTCGTTTTCTTGTTCAGCAATCACAAGGTTGTTAAACAGCATACATTTACTTCCATAGAGAAACACAATACAATACAACGCTAGCTGACGTTTCTGCAGTATCGCCTTCTTCAGAACCTGGAAGGGTGTACTGATATACAATCTACTAGGCCAAACGCTTCAATAACACTTACAAAAAGACGAAAAACTATGGTAATTACATGATTAACAGCTTCTCGAAACACACCGCTTTTTACGTTGCTTCGAGAGCTTTACACGCTGAACTTTTCGATTTCTTCTACGATAACAACTACTTAAAAAGCTTTCCCGCTCTGTCCCTCAGTCTTGTGCGCGCCTAGTGAAGTATTTGTTTTAATTTTAAGTCTACCGACTTTTATACGGACGCAAAGTGGTCTACCTGCTTCGCTAATGTATTCCTCACCTCACGCCTTACGAGTGATCAGATAAAATGCACCCGAATTCATTGAATCACCGTCTCTAGCATTAGATCAAATTATGCAATTTTGCTTTGTAGATAGACGGTCGTACAAGTGGTTGCGAAGTAGTAGGCGTATTAGAGTGCTTGGTGGTGTTTAAATCACTGTTACCGAGTTCTCTAGGCCATTCCTTCTTAAGCAGCATTTTATAGCCGCACTTATTTCTTGCGAAATGATGCTCGGATAAACAGGACTTTCGCTAGAATTGTTTTAGAGGTTGTTATTCAGCACAACTTTACTTCCTTACAAATATAACACATACAACACAACGGTAGCTCACGTTTCGGCAGTATCGCCTTCTTCAGAGCCTGAAAGGGTACACTAATATGTAATTTACTAAGTCAAACGCTTCAACAACGCAATCAGAAGGATGAAAATCTGAATAATTGATTACACGATCAACGACTTCTCGAAAAACCCACCGTTTTTTATCTGCCTTCCACCAAGAAAGAACAGCCGCTTAGAATCGTATATGGTCGATTGCTGCACCATCCCACTTCAAAAATCAGTTTTGAGATACGGGGCTAGATCACGCGTTATCTCAAGGCATTTTTCCCAGCTATTCGCTCTCGGATTTTTGGAATTTATCCAAAAAGCCTCGGGAAATTTGCGCGTTGGTGTTACAGTCTCCCGTGTGAAGATAGTGACTTTTACATCAAAATCTTTGCCATGTTTTCGTATCCTATGCGTCCCTAGTGGGGTACTTTGTCCTAGTTTTCGTTTGTAATCCAGGTGCTCTTTTATACGGATACACAAAGGTCTACCCGCTTCGCCAATATATTCATCTCCTCAATTATTACAAGAGACCAGGTATATCGTACCTGAACTCATGCAGTCACCGTCTCTGTCGTAAGGACAAATTACGCAATTTGGTGTTTCACATAGACGGTCATACAGACGGTTACGAACTAATTGACGACGTAGAGTAGCCGGTGGTATTTCAACTATTGTTCTAGACCTACTCTTCTTAAGCATCGTTTAGTAGCTACGCTTACTTCATCGCTAATAAAGTGCAACATAAACGGGATTTTGTTTCGGCCAAGCCCTTCGTTTTGGGGCATCGCTCTCCTTCTACACTTATCTCGTGGGATTACTATTTCGCAACCATTGGAGATGGCTATTTCCCGAGCCAAGTTGCGCGATTCTTCCTTTAGTTCCCTGGTAGTGCACACAGAGGTGGCCGTCGAAACATGTTTCTCACAAGTGCCCTCTTTGTGTGTTAAAGGTGGCAAATATCCATCTCCAATGGCACAACCGCACGAGATAAGTTTAGGAGGAGAGCGATGCGCCCAAACGAAACACTTGGCCAAAAGAAAGTCCCTTTTATGTTGCCCCTTATTAGCGATGAAGTAAGCGCAGCTATAAAACGTTGCTTAAGAAGGGCAGGTCTAGAGGAATCGGTAGCGATAGTTGAAATACCACCGACTACTCTACGTCGCCAATTAGTTCTCAACCGCTTGTACGACCGTTGTATGAAACAACAAATTGCGTAATTTGCCCTTACGGCAGGGACGGTGATTGCATGAGTTCAGGTACGACATACCTGATCTCTTGTAACAATTGCGGAGATGAATATATTGGCGAAACGGGCAGATCTTTGTGTATCCGTATAAAAGAACACTTAGATGGCAAACGAAAACTAAGACGAAGCACCCCACTAGGCACGCATAGGATACAAAAGCATAGCGGAGACGATTTTGAAGTGAAAGTCAATATCCTTGCACAGGAGTCCAAAACACCAGCGCGAAAACTCCTTGAGGCTTTTTGGATCAATGCCAAAAACCCTACAATGAATAGCAGGGATGAATGTCCAGAGGTCATACGCGACCTGACCCCGCATGTTCGCATCAATTTCTGGTGTGGGATGGTGCAGCCATCAACCATATGCGACTGTAATCAGCTGTTCTAATCCTCCGCATTGGAAGTCACGTAAAAAACGGCGAGTTTTTCGAGAAACTGTTGATCGTGTAATTACCATAGAGCTTTTCGTCTCTTTGTAAGTGTTACTGAATCGTTTGGCCTAGTAGATTGTATATCAGTATACCCTTCCTCTGAGGAAGGCGATACTGCCGAAACGTCAGCTACCTTTGTATTGCATTGTGTTTTTCTATGGAAGCAAATGAATGCTGTTTAACAACCTCGTGATTGCTGAACAAGAAAACGACGCATTCACATTCCAATGCCGAGGTTAATAGAAAGTCGATCCTGGGAACTGTGTAACAAAGCCTCTATTGCTCGAGTATTGCCCGAGTTTAGGATGTCTTGTGTTAGATTCCACGTTTCCCAAACGAGTGAAACATCTTGAAAGTGTATTAAAATTCGAGTTTCGTAGAATGTTGTCAGTAGAAAGGGGGCAATGTTGAAATGTCTCATGTATAAACACTAATTTCGAAGTGCCAAAGTTCTGATAGCAACATAGACAGCATGGAAGATTGGCTAGTGTTATCAAACGAGTTACCCAAAGAATGATGTTGCGAATATTCTGTATAATAGGAGGTGAGAGAGCCGATAAACGCTAGAGAAATCTGATTACATCAAATATTTGGAGACGTGATTTGCGTTCATGTAGACTCAGTTTCAATGCCCAGAACAACCAAACCCTGCATGCCGTTGAGTTTACGACTTTGATAGCGGGCCTATATGCAAAAGGAATGACGCTGAGGGAAGTCATCCTGAGGCAAAGTTGGTATTCAAAGCCTCAAAGTATCAATAATGGAACAATAATTGGAACTTATTAACTTCTTGTATAGATATTTTAGATAAACTAGAATCTCCTATCTTAATTTAATTAATCTTAACCTCGAGACCACCTTGAAACCACAAGGGATCGATTGTAGAGAAAGCCCAGAACTTAGGTAGGACCGAAACCATGAATAAAATGTTTAATTACTCGATTTCATTTGTATTTACCATTTAGTGTTGCAAATACAGGAAACAGTCGGCGGGACTGCTTTCGCGGTCTTGTGAGAATGTCCAGCTGAGGAATCAAGGGACCCGCTTTCAGCAGTTCTCGATTCTTAGTACTCTGAAACCATTTGGAACGCGGGATGACACAGCAGCGGCATTGAGTGTTCCGAGCTGAACAGTTCTTAGAAATAATCAGCATACGCGATATAAATAAATGTCCGAAAAAATCATCTGGTTTCTAACCTATTGCAGATCGGAACCGAAACATGTCATATTTAATGAGAAAAAAGCAGAACATGCATTAACTAGAGGAATGGCGTGCTGGACTTGTAAAATATGCTTAATACGCTTGCTAAATAAAATCACATAAGAGACAGCCTCACACGTTTTATGGCCGAAATCATGTGCATGAACAGGTAGATACGAAAGTAAACTAGGATCAGGATATGATGGTCGAGGATGCCTCTGTGAACGAAGCGCGCTTCTTCCGCCGACGACAGACACGAGAAGAAGTTACAAAGAGAACTAAGCCCTAAAATGACCTGAAAAATTCTACTTCAATATGGTTAGCAGCGCATACATGCGCGGCATCAATTTACCGTCCTGAAATCCGAAGAATTCAACATAGTCACGAATAACCCACTATTGCAAAACTTGTTAATCTACCTGATGTTTGGCAAAGTGCACGAGACCACCTCCAGTAAAAGCTTGGGACGATTAATCCTGTTGTATCAAAACGCAATAGATCTAATCACTTATCGTCTGGCAATGGTGTGCAACGATAGACAAAAACACAGAGTGACAATAAAAATGTCGTTAACATGAAACTAAACTGACTCATCACGCATTTATTTAACCTAAAACCGATCGTTATTGCTTCATGTCTACATCTCTTGATTCTCCACGTTATTTTGGAGCTGCTACCACTTTCGCCAATTCTTCTGGTGTCATATCGGGGCATGATTCGTAACCGACGTCGTCAGCTCCCTGAAATCGTCTTCAGTTACTTCTCCAACAGAACCTGTGATATTACCGTTTACATCATGAGAAACGTTTCGCCTATCGTTTCTCGAGTGGAAAATGCCGCATGAGAGTAGGAAACGAAAGAGTCCGTTGAAGAAGCTATAACCACCTGCTTGTCATTTCAACTTATGCAAAGCCCTATTACTAAATTCACAGCAGCAGCAACGTCGTCAGGAAATTCATGAGGATTTGCGTTGACGCAAATGCATACATGGGGTTGGCTGAACTGCGTTGATTACAGTGCGCTTTAGTCTCGATTGCTCTTTTGCTGAACAACTTTCCATGCAGTACCTCTTATAATACTACATCACGTCCAACCTTTAAATTTGCTTGGGTACTGCTTGAAACGACACTTAATTTCGGGTAGGTTACGTACCTACTACAAGTCGTCCGCCATTCGAACACCGCTCTTAACATAGAGTTAGCAGTGCTGATTTTTCGACAGTCAACTTTTCGATAATTAGAAAACCTGAGTGATTGAAAACCTGACAGAGTTATGGAAGAGACTCAGCTCTATTCGCTTCGCTATCGTATGTATGCTACCATTTATTATATTTTACTATGGTTATCACACAACGACACTGCTGTGATTTGGAACTGTTTCGCAATTTATGTTGGGCGTATTTTGGTGGTGTTTTGCATACTCGCACTCCATCCGATAAACATGATTCATAACAGCAAATGGGAATAAAATAACAACCAGTTATTGGTAACATATTTAACTTTATCTCGTCTCTGTAATAGATGTTGCTGACTTTCTGATAACTAAGCCTATAACCACAATGATGCTGAGATATTTGCAAAGCACCGTACCGCAGGTGTCTGTGATGGGGAACTAACGCGCTATTACCCTTTCCGGGGTCTAACGCCTCCACCACCATACCATGCGCGTCCTTCGTTTCGCATATCTCTCAGCTAGTACTAACCTTATAGTTTTTTTTGATAATTATAGTCCTTCAATGCATAGATGGACTTTGATGAATTAGTTAAGGCCGACATTTGAGAGTTCGTTTGTGATCGAGGTGAACAGATACAGACTACTGAAGGATTACGGAGATCATGATGTCTCATGAGATCAGATGACTCGTCGGTCTCTTCGTCTAGATGGAATTCATTAAACATTACGCAGTTGAGGGAATTTAGAGTTGCAGTACTGCCCTTGCATGGCATTCTGTAGCATTCCATATTACGACAAGAGCTTAATTTAATGATATGTTCGCAAACTTCCACTTTGCCGACAATACAGACGGGGTGGATTGCCAAAGAACTGGTTATTAGCACACCACATCAGAATATTCAGATTCGGAAAATACGTGTGTACTACTGACGTCCCCTCATTTAGAGGCAGAGACAAGTACGGTTTATTTAAATTGTGCTCAAGTGGTTACACCTACAGAATTCTGGTGCCAGTAACGAACCCTCCGCAACTGGTTCAGTGTGTATTGATGATGCTTATGTAGCATTTGCAGGATGAAGGAAGATAGTTCTATAGAAGTAGTTAGTACGCAATTATTCCGTTGTCTACGTACGTATTGCAGGAAAGGAACAATCTTATCTGACCCTTTAGAAAAACAGGAAAGAACTTCAAAGCAAGTTATACACCTGAAATTGAAGAGATGTCAGTGAACAGCACTACAGAATCGGAGCGGAATGAAGACGCTGGAGTGAAAATATAAGAGATGTATTGTTTTAATGTAGACAGTTCATGACCAAACCTTTTTGTGAAGTTGTTAAGACTATTCGCTGCTAAAACATGCAGCTAGGGGAAACTATTGTTGGACACAAGTAAGCAGATAACAGGTGGAGGTGCGCTTCCGCTTCCATCTGCTCCCTCAGATATGTTCAATGTTCATGGAAGTGAACATGTGTGGAAAACTACACTGAACGTCGTCAACATGCAAGTCTGCTTACGTCACACTGGAAATGGCACTAAATAAAAAGTTGACATTGTGCTTTCGACTACAGCCTCAGCTTAACTGGGTTCAGTATCAATTTGTGCTTCCCAGGTCGATCCTGCTTACGGATGAATTTTGATGGCACTTCTAGATAGAAAAACTGCCTAGGAAAAAGGCGAAACGAAGAAACCACATGGTGTGGTGGTGAACGCGTAAGCTTCCGAAAAGGGTAATAGCGTGTTCGATCCCCATCGCAGACATTTGCGCTCTTGAATATCTCGGCATCATTATGGGAATGGGACTGTTTTCACGTCGATCACTCCTCATTTTGTTGAAGAACGTAATAGAAGTGATTCGAGAACATGGAGACGAGGTGTACGATATTACAAGATGTTATGGCAGTGCAATTGCAAATATGTTGCAGAACGCATCAGCCAGGTTAAAACTAGATGCGCTTGTTGTAGACAACATGATTGTTCAAACCCTTTCGATAACGGTCATAGAAAGTGTACATACAAATTTGACACAAAGTATGAGTTTTAGATGAAGGGTTGCAAATGGGCAAAAAGTGGATAATTCTACCTGGTAGGGCGTCGAGGTTATAAGTATCTATAAACTGCGAATTGGAGATTATAAAGGATAACGGATAAAGCTCACAGCGTTGATCAATCCCTGAGGGATGCGCCATGCATTCGACTTCACTAATCATCGTTTGGAGGTGATTGAATACATATATGCCTTTGAATGCCTTTGAAGTGATTGTCCGTGGCGTACCGATGTATCAAGCCACTGCTGCTATCCCTCCAAATAAGTCTGGTACCAATTCTCCGATCTCGGAGAGATGAAAGACTTGGTGGGCCAGTGGCATGGGGATCGATTCCTTGTGTGCGTTGCAGACACCTCCGACCACTGCGCCACACGCGCCTTTATTGGAGATTAAACATATTAAAATTAATTATCTTAAGCGTAACGCTTCAAATATTGGCAAAAAAGTTGATGGAAGACCTGAAGACTATTTCGAAGGACAAGCTGTGTTGAATCCTATTGATGAGCGCATATTCTGTGAACACTGAGAAACTCTGAAGAAGTCTCCTCTATGATTTAATGATCTATTCATAGCAAAAAAAGCCTCTCTAAGTGTCGATTTTTCCGTGCTCAAGTAAAGCCATTTCTGTACCTTTTCATAGCCGCTCGTCACCAAATTGACTTTATCCAAAGAGTTTTTTTCTAAAATGTGAAGTACAGGGAACAAATGGCAGTGGGGGCAACGCTCTTCACCCACTTTGTTTTCACACATGCATTGTACCAAATACATCTCGGGCGATACGTGTTAAATCAACAGCATTTTTGCCTCATCGGTTGTACCACGTATGGACCGAGAAAAGTCAGTCCGTCCTCATCAAAATGTACGAAGAACTGCTTTTGGGATGAATTTGTTCGTTGGAATAAAAACGAAATCTCGTCAAACAGCACGCGACGACGTTGCCGAACTCATTGCTTATGTGGGTGTCCCCTAGAGACAGAGATTATGAAAACCTGTATAATTCTTCCGAAATCTTTGAAGATTCAAATTCTCAACAGGCTTTAAGTGGAAATAGCGTTTCAGGAAAACCATGTATACCTTTTGGAAGCAGTCCTCAAATACTCTGATTATCGAAAAATTAGCGCTGTTGCTAATGTTAACATTTTCCATTAAATTAAGCAAATATTTCAAATGGGTTGATCTTAGGTGCGTTAATTTACTCAACGACTAAAATATTTCATTTCAAATGGTGATTGCGTATGGCGCTGATCGATAGAACTAACTGAGAGACAGGCGAAAAGAAGGACCCGCATGGTGTGGTGGTGAACGCCTTACTCCCCGGAAAGGACAATAGCGCGTTCGTTCCCCACCGCAGACAGCTGGGATCCGGAGTTTTGCAAATATCTTAACGTCATTGAGGTTCAAATGAAATAATTCGTGTACATTCAGATATTCCTAACAACGGTGTGTGAGCACACATGTTGTCATGAAAGCATCTCGTTAGATGAAAAATAATAATATGAGACTCGTTCCATAAAACTCATTTTAAACTATCACTAATTAATAATACCAAATTCGAGATGTCCAGAAGTACAGACAAGAACCAATGTGTATTAGAGTTCAATCCAGGAGGAAATTCTTATAGCTCCGTCCGATTCCTTTAAGGGAAAGCTAGCAGATACAAAATGAGGCAACACAATCTCTCCCAGCTTAAGACAGGCAATAAATACGCTGTATTCATTTTAAAAATGCTTTTGCATTAAAGAACTTACAGCCTCTGGGAGAGTGGCGGGTGGCGGTGGCTTCTGAACTGGTTGTGTTAATTTCTGAAATGTTCGACTTCATGTGCAAGTTTATGTGAAAAAGACTGCTTCTACGATGGATAGCCGTTGTCTGGTTTGGGTTAGCAGTCGATCAAATATTGACTTAGTAATGGTCATAGATCGAAGGCACACTATCACTTCTATCCTGCAGAGAACACAACTGAAATGGAGGCCTTCGCGATCGTGGAGACCCGATCATAATGTTCGGTCCAGAAACTATATAGGAATCGAACAGTTCTCTTCCATTCTGGACCATTAAATTGCTGGAATGTTGCTAAAAAAAAGATAGCGAAAGATATGAAAATATGTGTGGTGTAATGCTGTCATGATCTATTGGGGCGGATAGCACAGTGGTAGTGATGGTCACCGCCATGAACATGGCGTTAGTTCGATTCCCCTTTAGGCCAACCAAGCCTATCATCCCTACGGGGTCGGGAAATAGGTACCGGACTTATCTGGGAAAAAAATCACTTTCTGCAATCCAACTGGGAACGCTCCAGCACGGCTATTCCAGGACTCCTCGGAGAATTGCTCGACCAGCATTCTACGACATTCAAGATGAAATGGAAATCCTCAAGTAGCAACCGAAGCGACACGTAAAAGTTGGAAGATCTTCGTGGACAATGGATGCGAGGACACAAGTCGAATGTGAGAAGTGCTGGGATCCGCGCAGTAGACGTGAAGACGGATCAAGTAAAATAAAATAAAATAAATTGCTATCATGAATATCGACCGAATTTTTATTTCTTCCCCAAACATTGCAAATATAATCGAAACATCGCGAGATTATCACCTGAACGACATAATCAAAATTCTGTAGAAATCGCTTCGAAAATGGAATTTTGAACTCAACAGTTTTGGAAACCCCACTATTGTTTGAAGGATGATAGATAAAGCCCCTATGTCTTGTCTAATGAAGAGCTCACATTTACCAGCATATTTCCAGTCGCTGCATATTTATTGCACCTTACTGTTGAGCGCTGGAAAAGATTAGAAGGGAAGTAATTTCATAACAGCATGAGACGACACGAAATGGCATCGTGACAGAAGGATATTACACTCTTACACCTTTGACTACTGAGACGTCCACAAGGCGGTTAGGCTTCACTGCATGGTTGCCTGAACCCAGCACTGTGTATGTTTTGCCCACTAGAAGATCATGCTGCATCAATATTAGAAAGAACTCGAGTTCTCTACATAGCGATTCCTACAATTCACCAGCAGACGAAAAATTATTCTTCGTGTCCTCATCACCAAAAAAACGGCCACACTCACTTTTCATGTGTGTGATAGCAAAGTAGCGAAGAAAATTTCAGAGATCGACATGCCCTGCACAGACAGCATTGTAAACCCATTCCTAAGGGCCCGTACCTCATTATTCTTCTTCTTAGGATCGCCTGAAGTAGTGGATTTGGTATCCTTTAGTTCCGCAACTGCTTCTGTTGACTTGAGCTTAATAGGTGACTGAAAAACACTAAGATTCACTTGCGCCTTATTTCATACAATTTTTTACTCGATTTCATACCACATGCAATCCTCTTGTGAGGGTAAATCAGAAGAAAGCCGGCCAATACCAGTATTGCTGAGGATATAGCAGAATTAACCTTTTCGTTGGATCTACAACGTACCTCCTTGGGATCGGGTTCGGACGCCGGCTTTTTACCACAGCACTCAGTAAGGGATAAGACGGCGACAGAAAACGCAGTAATGCCAATATGTAACAACATGCTGACTCCTAAAGTAATGGTTAAAGGAAAAAAAAGGAACAGAAATGCTCTACCTCTCTATGGATGTTTTAGCTGTTTTAGATTTCAAAAAAAAATTAGCTAAAACGTAGTGAAGTATTGATTGGAGCAAATAAAAGAGCGTAAGATATTTGTTCACTGAGGCGACCGTACCCGACGCAGACGAAATAGAATACGGAAACACCACCTCTTGATATCGGTTATTATTCATTTCCCGTTCGCAGATGCGATACGGTAACACTCGAATATTCGAGTGAGACTCATTGAACATACACTGTAAATCGCAACAAACATCTACTAAAAATGATAACAGGAAAAAGTCTCATTCCTCTGAGGAAAATTCCAGACACTACATTTGTGTAGGGACTATGACGTCAACGGTCAAAAATCTGTCGGTTCTATAGGCAAAATCGTCGAAGATAATGTGGGCTGGACACGTAATGCGTATGAACGACAACTGAAGGACAAGAGCAGTTAGTGACTGGATTATCCTCCGGATATCCAACTTACTGCACGAAGACCACCGACCGAACTGATGATTAGTTTTCTTCACGAAGGACCTAGAAAAAAGGTGTGATCCTCAATGGGTTCGTATAGTGAACAGAACCCATTGAGGTACTCTTGCATGCAACAGGAAAAATGGAAGATTTACTGGCACCCGCTTGAGTCGCTCGACGATCAACGAGACTAAAGTGATACGCGTGATTATTGTGTTGAATAGAACAAATATGTGAAACCTCTGTTCATCGAGCAAGACGATCGGATCTCATCTCCATTACCACTAAGGAGTTGCTCGAAAAGAGGAGCTGATGTTTGATCCTATTGCAGCACATCTAACATGGCCGGCTGGTAATAAATGGCGGCTGTAGAGGATCTTTGCAGGAGGATTTGCATCGCTACAAGCAAAAAAGTTATTGGAAGTAGTCCAAAAACGATCTAGTCTGGAAAAAAGTCATCGGGATCTTTGCGACTGTAATATCCTACCGTTCTCTCTGATGAATGAAAATAAAATCACTAAAACTTCCCACGATGTTTACAGAATTAGTAGCCGAAACATTGCTCACTGACCTTTTCCGTTCCACAATCCCCGTCTCGAACCCTGAAAGCCAACTTGAGAAAAACCATTTTGAAGTCTTCTTTTTGAGGTTCGAGCTATGATAGAAAGCATGAAGGCAGACACAACTCTAGGACCCGATAATATCACCGACAATATCAATTGTGGTTGTATTACACATAACACGATGCCGTGAAAAACTGCAATAGGTAGTAAATAAAGGGCCAACATTGTGATTTCGACTACAGTCTCAGCTCATTGGATTGCCGATTTGGGCTCACCAGATAAATCCCGTTGACGGGTGGTTGCTGATGGCGCTCACCAATAGAAAACTATTCGAGAGACAGGCGAAACGAAGGACCCGCATGGTGTGGTGATAAACGCGTTAGGCCACGAAAAGGTTAATAGCACGTTCGTTCCTCACCGCAGACACCTGAGGTCCGGAGTTTTTCAAATATTTCAGCAACATTAAGGCGATGCATTTTCTTTGCCCTGACAGCTCCAATTCAACCGGGCTCAAGATCAATAAATGCTAGAAAAAAGCAATACGTGGTGATAAATAAACTGGAGACAAGCTTTAAGATGGCACAGAGTGGTTTTGAGTTCGCCTAATTTTTGAGTACGGCGTCGTCTCCTTCCTGTAGTGTTCACTTATTACTCGCTTTCGTTTGAATGCTATCCTTTCTACAATTCAAAACTTCTCCATGATTCATTTTGGACCATCGTTTCAATTAACCTATGCATATAAATATTTCCAACCCTTAAATAAGGTTCCTTATTTGGACGATATAGAATTAACATGAACAGATTACTTTGCCATACGCTCTGATGAGTAGCTTTCAACGGAGACGCTGCTGAAATCTGCGTCATAAAGAACTGAAGTGAATGCACCACAGCATATTTCATTTCAACACGACCCGTCTTCGAATCTACTGCGCTAATCCCAGCACTTCTTCCACTCGATTCATTTCCTCGCGTCCATCATCGACAAAAGTCTTCTAGCTTTTGAGTGTGAGTTCGGCCATTGCTTAAGGGTCATTCTTTTTCTTCGTGGATGTTATTCAATGCTGGAAGAGTTGATTCTAGCTGAAGCTCTGGAATATCAGTGCTGGGGCGTTCCCGTGTTTTCACCGCATACAGTCATTTACCCTTATGCAATTGAAGGATGACTTCCCAGATAAGTCTAGCACCAACTTCTTGACCTCGGAGGGATAGAGAACTGGTCGGCGCGATGCGGGACCGAACAACAAAAATTATGAAAAAAAGCGCTATCCTGTACGCTATTGCTGGGGCAAAATATTACACATTAAAAAAAACATGGCTTAAGGATATTTCAAAAACAAAGCAGTGAGAACGATTTTTCAAGTACGCTGTTTGTTTTTGAAGGGTACCCAATAATTGGGATAACGTTCTCTCAGAATCCACATCTTATTGCCAGTTAACACATAACGCCAGAGGCTGGTTTTTCCAGAACAGACGCTGATTTCCCGCCCACCACAGTGGATGCAGAGTGAAGAATTCGTGAAATTATAGAGTAGTCTTAAGAAAAACTCCATGCCAGGCTTCAACTTCGGAACTCTCATTGTCAGCGAATGTAATATTTCCAAGGTAGGGACCAAGTTTTTTTTTATTCAATGACACTACTCATCATAGAATCATCAAAGCATGGACAATGTTTTGAGCAAATCCTCACGGATCTTGTTGAGAAAACGAGGGTAATAACTTCAACTACGCTAAACCTCATGTGCTTTCATTACGAAACAGGGAAGAGTAACGAGATACTGCGAGCTCGCACTTAGAGTGGATTCGTGTTCGAAGTACGAAACCCAGTGCAGAAAAAGAGAAAGGAACATGCGTCATGAGCTACGGAAAAGTCGAATTTCGTCCCTTAGAAAACGATATTTTTAACTCTATAGGAAAAAGCTCTGTAGATTCCAATGGATTCAAGAAAAAAAATAGGATAAAGCTCTCGGCGTTGAACAATCCCTGAGGGAAGCGCCATGCATTCCACTTCATAAACATTGTTAGAGCTGATTGAATGCATATCAGGTCTCTAAAATAACTCGCGGTAGCCTACTGATGAATCGAACTAGTGCTGCTATCCTTCCACACGGGTCTGGCACAAATTTGCAGACCCCGGAAGGATGAAAGGCTCGGTGAACATGGGGCGCGAGGTCGATCCCATCTCTATAGCATGGCATCTCTAACCAAGCGTTTGCACATGACCTTGTTCCGAGACATGCTGGTTTAATTTAGTCAATCAGAGTGAATTCGAACTTTAAGCAACCATTATTTTCGCATCACATATATCGCACCCGTTAAGTGCTAATTAACAGCCCAGCATTGTTTGTGATAAAAAAATCCCAAGCTTATTCTTCCGAGCCTCTCAGGAAGTCGCTCTGATGGCAGCAACATTTGTATACGATGAATAGAAGCAAGAAGAGAACCGTTCAGGAGTAGGCTACGAGTTGGAACGAGGAAAACCTGCTCAACTGCCAGCAGGACGGCGCTGCGACGCGCTCCACGTCGCGCCACTTGCCCACTTCTGGCGGCTCCGAGGACCTGCCAGTCGAGGTGGGAGTGGCCGTTAACTCATTCCTCTTCTCGTCATTTCTGGGCCATAAGTTACCATCTACCAGTAGTTGGTCTTTGATTCCAGTGGGAGCCAACGAGGTTGATTGGCTTGACCTTTTCCACATTTTCTTATTTTCAAGTATTGCTGTGTAGTCTTCCTGGACAAGTTGTCCTCATGAGGTTTGTTATCATTGCCATGATACAGTTTCGTCTCATCGTGAATGGAAGAGCATAGTGATCAGTACTGAGGTTAGTACAACGTTAGTATTGAGAGTTACTGTGCAGCGCCCACCTCTTGAATATGTAAGCATTGGAAGATATGTGTTTTTGTTATACTAGTGGTACTGTCATATGTATTTTCTGTAGTTCTGCTGTACCATCGAGATATGAAACGTTACGTTGTTTGTTCGTAAGGTTGCTTCTCCGCTGGCGTGTGTAGCGTAGTGGTTAGAAGTGCAATACAATGCGTGCATTGTCGTTGGTTCGACTCCGCGTTCACAGTGAAGCAAAGCTTTGATCACTCTGTGGCGGGAAATTTATTAGTAGGCTTCTTTGGTAGCATAAGAATACTCACTTGTTACATAAGTAGGTCGACAAAGTCATTGTATTCGCTAAGTATATAACCAATCGCCTCTAATTCTTTATATGTAAATATACAGGGAGTGAATAGTATAGTGGTAGTGATGCTGGTCATCACGAGCACAGTGCTGGTTCGATCTCGCTTCGTGCTCGCCAAACCTTTCATCTCTCCGGAATCGGAAAATTGGCATCGGACTTGTCCACGAAAAAGCCACTCTGTGCAATCCAATTAGGAACGCTCCAGCCCGGCTACCTCAGCACACAAGGGAGAATCGACTTGACTAGACCAGCATTCCATGAGAGTCAAGATGAAATGAAAATCCTCAAGCAGCAGCCGAAGCCGCACGTAAAACTTAGAAGACCTTCGTGGATGATGAATGAGAGGAAACGAGTCAAATGTGGAAAGTGCTGCGATCCGCACAGTAGGCGTGAAGATGGGTCGTATAAAAGAAATTTAAAAAGTGTAAATGTACACACATGCACATATATATATGCGTGGATATATAGAATATATATACATGCATATACATGTTCACATAGGTATACATATAAAAATGTGTGTCTGCAAGTGTATATGTGTATATATACACATATATATACGCATATGTATATATATATTCGGTACACTCACGTTCGTCGGTTCGACCTCCCCTCCCCCCCTCCGAGGTAATCTAACTCGCCATCCATCTGAGATCAGTAAATTGACACCAGACTTGGTTGAGGAAATCCCTCTCTAGTTTGCAAGGACCACGAGTGTACGGAAATGTGGGTACTCTGTAGCAAAGCTGCCACGAAATTTCAAAGGAGATCAGTTCGACTAGTAATTAACGACACTCATTAAAAATATGAAAGTGTAAACTAGCAGCCTGCATAAATTCGAGGATCTCTGTTGGTGAGAGATGGAAGACAACGAGCCAAATGGAAGAAATACCTGAGAAATCTACATATGTGGAAATGGAAAAGTGGAAATGGAAATCTACATACGTGAAGATGGGTCGTGTATATACATATATATACATACATTATATATATATATATATATATATATATATATGGAAGATATG